GGGGGGGGGGGGGGGGGGGGGGGGTGGCAGCTCCCTCTGAACACATTCTTCAAAAGTGATGCCTTCTCAACAGACTTTAAACATAACACACGTGCACACAAAAGGTGAAGAATAAAAGGCCAGATGTGAGGGGGGAAAATGGGCACCAGATGACAGGGATCTTAGGGGTCTCAGGGAGTCCCAGACAGAAAGCTGTCAGAGGGTGTCAGGAAACAAATATTTACCAAGGGCCTAGACGTGCCAGGTGCTGCTGTGGGCGCTGGGTACAGCAGCAGGCAAGGGCCACAGAATGCCTGCCCTGTGCTCCCCAGGAGGCCTCAGCAGCTACACCCCCAACTCTGGGGAGGAAGAGGAGGGCAGGCAACCCTGCTCAGCCCAGAAGGAAGAGCCCCATCTGCCACACTCCCTGCCCCCGTGACCCAGCCTACACACACCCTCCTCCTTTTCTCACTGAGGGGATGCCACCATGCTAAGACTGGACAGTGGGCTGGTGAGCAGGTGGCAGTCGGTGGGCACAGAGGGTCCTGCACTGCCAACATAACAGGGAAGGCTTCAAGTTCCCTGGAACAAAACTGCACGGTGCTTCTGAGGTTCAGAGCACCTGCCCTTAAAACGCAGCCACGTCCACTTGAGATCAAACTCAGCAAGCCAGGACTAGAAGGGATTTCCTCAACCTGACGGAGGGTATTTAGGAAGTGCCCACAGCTAACATCATGCTTATCCAGTGCGAGACAAGGCCTTCCCTGCAGGTCAGGGGCGAGTGAGGATGTCTGCTCACTCCTGTCTATTCAACACTGTCCTAGAGGTCGCGTGAGTGCTCTCGGGTGAGACAAGCAAGACACATGGCCTGGAGAGTGAGGAACAGTGTCCCTGCTCTCAGACAACATAACGTCTATACAGAAAATCCCAGAGTCTGCAGAGAAGTGACTAGAGCTAGTGAGTGAGTTCAACAAGGCTGCAGGATATATGGATAACAAAATCAACTGCATTTCTATATAACACAATGAACAACTGGAAATTGAAATTAAAAACAGTGCCATTTACAGTAGCACCAATTAAATAAAATAAAAGATGTACAAGATTTGTATGCTGAAAACTGTAAAATGTTTTTTTTTTTTTTTTAAAAGATGACCGGTAAGGGGATCTTAACCCTTGACTTGGTGTTGTCAGCACCACGCTCAGCCAGTGAGCGAACCGGCCATCCGTATATGGGATCCGAACCCGTGGCCTTGGTGTTATCAGCACCGCACTCTCCCGAGTGAGCCACGGGCCGGCCCATGTTTTTTTTTTTTTTTTAAAGATGACTGGTAAGGGGATCTTAACCCTTGACTTGGTGTTGTCAGCACCACGCTCAGTCAGTGAGCGAACCGGCCATCCGTATATGGGATCCGAACCCGTGGCCTTGGTGTTACCAGCCCCGCCCCCCCCCGAGTGAGCCGGGGGCCGGCCCATGTTTTTTTTTTTTTTTTAAAGATGACTGGTAAGGGGATCTTAACCCTTGACTTGGTGTTGTCAGCACCACGCTCAGTC